TGTTCGCCGCCCCTGTTTACTCTGTCCCCTCTCTCTTCGCCTTCATTCGCTCTTGTCTTCTCTTCAATTACCACCTTTCTATGTTCATGTAGCATCTCACTTTTCCCTACCCCCCTGGGAAGTTCCAGCCGTTCGAGTCTGTTCTTTCTCTCTCCCTTGCTCGCAAGCCCAACTGTCTACAGTCGCTTCCCACTCTCCTTTTCTTGACCACTTCCACTCTCATTCTCATGCCATTGCTGTGTACACAGATGGCCCTAAGTCTTCTGACGGTGTAGGATTTGCAGCAGTGTTTCCGGACAGCGTCGTACGAGGGCATTTACTATCTTCGGCTAGTATTTTTACTGCTGAATTGTATGCCATCCTTGCAGCACTTATCTGTATTGCATCTATGCCTGTGTCATCATTTGTGGTTGTCTCAGACTCCCTTAGTGCTTTACAGGCTATACAGAAATTTGATATGCCTCGCCCCTTAGTCCTCCGTATCCAACTTTGGCTACGCCGCATCTTTACCAGCAAAAAGTATGTTTTTTGTGGGTCCCGGGTTTCATGTTGACTACAGGGCAATGAACGGCGAAAAATGCTGCGGGTCAGCAGTCTGACCTATCATTTCATATAGAGGATTCCATTTACGGCTTTTTTGCTGAAATATTTCCCCCCTTCACCCCCGTTGGCAACAACGTTGTTCTACTACTCGGCAAAAAATTCAATCTATTAAACCGAGAAAGGGTTTTCTGGCCGTTTGTTATCCCCAGTGTCGAGGTTGGGGATACTCTCCCCCCGTCTTGCTTTGGCCATACTCGTTTTACTATGGATATCTCATGGGGGGCCCCTGTCCTCTGTGGAATGCCAGGCTCCATTATCAGTCACCACATTTGTTGACTCCCCCCATTTCATAAACAGCAGCAAATTTACCTCCATCGTCTCTTCACTCCGCTGCTTTTCTTTTACCTTCCTTCTCACGATGGACCCACCTTTCATCCGGCTTCCATTGACTTTTGAAAACAACCGACTTACTTCACAAATTCGTTACCTTCAGCCCTTCTATTCAATTCTTGCTCCCCTCTCCCCCCGTACTACCCCCTCCCCGCTTTTTCTGTAACCCCTATCACCCTCCTCCCTTCTCCCCCAAAATACCCCGCTTCCCTTCCCTCCCCTCAGCGCTGTATACCCCTTGTGGCTTAGCGCTTCTTTTGATTATAAAAATAAAATAATGCACATCAAATACCCCCATGCATCGAGACGACATCATTTAATGGGAAAGGGACCCCAAAAATTATTAAAAACAAAAAGCGCAAAAACCAAAAGGTCACAGGCTGACTGCAAAAAATAGTGCTGAGGCTATAAACAGCTGGGTGGAAGAGGACGAGGTGAGGGAGAGAAGGGCTGGAAGGGACGTTAAGGGGCTGTTGTAAAAGTTGACAAAAAGCAGTTGCTAACAATCAAAAAATGATTGTAAGTCAAAGGGGGCCATCTCTGAGGGAAGATAAGGAAAGAGGGGGAGCGTCTTTGGGGGAAAAACCTGTGAGCTGTTGTAAACTGGGCAACTACAAGAAAGTGAAGAACCGAAATGGGGCCCCGACAAACCCCAAAGAGGAACGTGTCTTCCACAGATAACCATGGGTAAGCAAGTAGGGCCCAATGCGGAGCGGGGAGAGCCAGTTCTCTAGTACAAGATGGCCACAAACCAAAAAAAGCGGTTTAAAAGAGTGCAATTTATATGGTGCATGCCCAACCATTTTGTTGTTGCCAAAGCTGTGAAATGGGCTAATACATATGGGAAAACCCAGTAGTCGGCTTGCTGACTGCGGCGCACCCCTTGTTCATTGCCGGGCCTCAACTGTCTGGGGACCCAAAGAAAAACGACATCTTTATTTTTCTTAGCCACATGGCGCAACCAAAGTCAAATATGAATGACTAATGGATGAGAGGAATCAAATTGTCAATGGCTTGAAACACTGAGGGCTTGAAATTATCACAAACATCAAAGGAGACATATCTAATAGAAGAATTGTTTTAGGAGGCATACAACCGGGCAGAAAAAAATCTAGCCAGCCTAACAATGACCTCGGCATCATCTCATCGGGGAATATGCTGCAAACCCAACACCTTTGGGAAGTTTAAAAAACCGTCTTAAAAAACAAAAACGGCACGACTGTGACGGAATGATCGAGAAAAAGAGGCGAGAAGCAGTCAAGGCGAAAAACCTAAAAGGATCATAAAACTTGGGAAGGGAGGCAGAATAATTAAAATTTGATAGGGGAAGGGAAAGCAGCTCTTTCCCGGGTGTTCATCACAAACTTTAAAAGCACAAAAGAAGGACCTAACAGAGAAGGAAAATTCCATCCTTTTCAACCTAAGCAAAACAAAACCTTAAAATTTCCCCCAAATACAAAGAGCACTCCAAAGGGTGTCTCACGGTTAACCCTAAAAAAATTTTTAACCCCTTTTAGAGTTCACGGCCCCCTCAGAGACGTTCTCGGGTCCCCAAATTTCAAAAAAAAAAAAAAAATTAGAAAAGTGAGAATCTTTTTTCCCGTCATAATGACACCAAAAATGAAATTCGTGGAAAACTTATGGAATTATGCTTCGCGAAGTTACGGCCTGACGATGTTTACGCATCGGGAAAATTTTTTTCCCCTTTGACCCCCCATTTCGGCCAAATTTCCGTGTACTATCGACAAAAATATAACTATTTCGCAGAACTCCATTTTTTTATCGAAAGAGTCAAGAAACCACCCCTTTACCAAAACCAAACTATCCCAAAACGTGGTCAGAAATTTTGCAATTTTTTTCCAAATTTCACAAAATTTAAAAGAGCCAATTTTGCAAAATTTGGGCCAGAATAAACAAAAGGGCCTCCTGGCACTAAATAAAAGTTCCCCTGTTTTATAATCACGTCCCCAGCCCCTCTTCCATTCTTTTTTTTTCCATTTGAATTTTTATTCTCACAAAAAAAGAAAATTTTACTGTTTGCAGACTACTTTATTAGTGTAGAAAGGTATAAAATATCGGGGACTTGTGAAAAAATTTAGCTCACCGTTGCGTGTATTGGACGCTTGCTGATTTGTTTATTTTGAACTTTTGGGAAAAAACGAACATTTCTGCACTTTAGCCAATTCAAGTACTTTTCACTGTAAAACTTGTCAAAATCACTCAATTTCTGTAATATGTCTTCCATTTTTATAAATGGACCAGGAAAACTAGAATACAACAAAAACCACACGAAAAAAAAGTTGCAAAGTCGCTGTTATATCCCAAAAAAAACCCGGGCAGTTTTTTTTTTCTCATTACGCACTGTGGTTGCAGGATTTCTTTATATGCGCAACACCCAAAAACCCTTCTTTCAATGAGGCCCACCACTTTTCTACTAGATCTGAGGGGGGCTAAATTTAGGCGTTTAGTACGCAAAAACCCTGGGCGTAAGCCGTACTAGCGTCCGAAACCCTGAAAGGGTTAAGTGTAACATGTTATTTCCTTCATAAAGGTTTATACATAAAAAAAAATACAAATTCCTTTTTTTTGCTTTTAAAGCACACAGTGCTAAAGTTAAAAAAGAGTAACCTTAATTTACTGGACAACCATATTCAATATTTTTTTCCCTTTCCCAAACCATAAAGCTACACTTATCAGAGAGCATTAGAAACAAAAGCTCAATCTTTGTTCATAAAAAACTATTCATTTTAGGTAAATGGGTGAATCTGTGGAGGTGTTTCCAAACAAAACCATCAGTTACATTCCTTTCAAATTTTAAATTTTTCCCCTTCACTTTCTCCAATTTAAATGTATTTTAAAAGGAAAATTTTTATTAATAAACAGTCCTTTGTTTTTGTTTTTATCTGGGCAATTTTTATATAAATTTAAAACCAAAGGGAAAAATTTTTAAAATTGTAGGGGGTCAGAGTTGCCTGGGAAAGGGGGGATTAGGTTCAGTCCAAGAAGAGAAGGAATTTTAGTTCCTTTAAACAAGAGCCCCCAGCTGGCACCTACCACCTTCCTTTAAGGGACATCTACAGAATTTCAATATTCAAAAACTATAAAAACATCAATAAATTAAAGCATGTCTAACAAATGATTCCAGTCTGTAGGCAATAAACTGTAAAAAATAAACAATTTCAAAGTCTGCCTTGATAAAAGTAATTTTTTTTAGAAACTCAAACCATATATCTGAAGTTACAAAGGTTTGTTGATAAATTTGGGAAGGTATGTAAGAGGAAATTAAAAGCGAATGTAGAAAAGATTAAGGTGATAGACTGAATATCAAATTCGAGGGAGAGAGCATGAAGAAAGATTTTAGTTATCTGGGAGTGAACATGTTAGCAGATTTATCTATAAAAGATGAAGTGACCCATAGAACAGATGAGGGGAGAAAGAATTTGAGTGTTGTTGAAGTATCTCTGGAAAGAAGTTTTATTTTAGGGCATAAAAAAAAAGGAAGGTACCAGAGTACGGTGATACCAACACATACATGGGTGAGGCACGGGTTTTGAAAGCTGCAATGAGATCGCTTACGGGCAGAAATGTCATGATTGAGAGCAATGTGTGGTGTGAATATCATACAAAGAATTCAGAGCATAGAAATTAAAAGGCAATGTGGGATCACTAAAAGTATAATTCAAAGGGTGGGTATGTACGGAGGATGAAGATAGGTTGACAAAGGTATATAAATCTGAAGTGAAGGAAGTAGGAGTCATCCCAGGAATGGTTGGAGGGAGAGGATAAGAGGCTTTGAGATTTATGGGCTTTACCATCCAGCAGACTAGTCTGAGCATGTTAAACAGGAATGAATGGGGACAAGTTGATTTTAACAGATGTGTTGGTGTGAGAGCAAGGTAGCTTTTATGAAAGGATTCAGGGAAGCTGGTTCACTGGACTTAGAGTCCTGGTAGTGGTGGAAAGGGCAGTGTACACTGAAGATTAACAGAGGGTACAATGATTGTGTTGTCAGCATACTTATGGAAAGACAGCAGTTGAATGGATTTAGGTCATCCTGCCTTGGTAGATGGCTATAGTTAAAAAGAAAAAAAAAGTATACAGTACACATACATTAAATATGTACAGAACGACTAGGATTGTGTATAAATTTGGGGTGGAGGGAAGGAGGGGCAGAGGTCATCGAAGGAGAGGATGGAGGGAGGGGGTCAAAGTGGTTGCGAATGCTAGGGGCTTGGACATGAAACAAGCTCGTGTGAACATGTTAGATTGGAGTGGTCAAGCGGTTTATGTGATTTAATGTGCTGTTGGAGTGTGAGCAAGGTAACATTTATGAAGTGATTCAGCAGAAACCAGTAGGCTGGACCTGAGTCCTGGAGGTGTAAAGTAGTGACTGCACTCTAAAGAATGGATGGGGCTATTGCAGTTTGGAGGGTTATCTGATCATCTGGATTGCAATATAGGCACCTTTCTGGAAAGTGATTTATTAAGTGACAGTCACCGTAGCTCAGTGGAATATGGCCAGAGTGTTAAAAGAAAAACTGGTATTAGTAATGCCAGCTCAAGATTAGTATTACACTTTAGAAAGGAAACTGCAAGGTACTTCCATTGCCAGTTAAACAGAAGAAAAATATAGCTGCTCACTTATGACACCTTACCTCATTATCCCTTTACATTATAAATGCTTATTTATATAATGATAAATCAGAAATCTTGTCATTAATATAAAAACAAACTTTGTATAATAAATCACCGAATGCTGTAAACACACAGCCAGCCTTCCTAACTACTCTTGCAAAGTAGCACCACCACTAACTAGTGTTTTCACTAGCTAAGTCTACTATAAATATGTAACATACAAGTTAAGAAAAGCAAGAAATTAATTTAATATAAGTATAAAACTTAAATGACATTAAATTACAATTTCCACACATCAATATATGAATATATTTACATATACAAATATTTATATATACATACATGTTTCTGATTGTTTAGATACTATTGTGATGTCCAATATTAAAATTTTAGGCTAAATTAAGGCTCCCTTATATCCTATCTTGCTGTCATTGATTTTTACATAAACGGTAATCACCCTTAACAACACTGGCAGTTATATCCGCTGGTTGAAGGTAGCTGCAACGAGCAACTACACCATTCCTTACCCAAATTTTAATTTTTAATGGCAGTCAAATCTGCTGGTTGTCTCAGGAACTGTTTGGAACATCAGCTAATTACACTTGTTTATTACTGCACTCCTAGACTGGATGCAAACTCTGAAAACAAGAAGTACCTTCAATATGTTATTTTAAATTTGTTTATAACTAGAGATTATATCATTAATCCTCTATAATTTACAAGACTACAATTATATGCCAGTGCAATCTTCAAGTAAAACTCCATTAAATTCCCAAGAAAGCAATCCTGTTAATCATTTTTTATACTAGTACTGTACTATCAATTTGTTAACCAGTGTCCTATTCTCTTAAAGATCCTATATTAAACATAAGATAATTAGGTACAATCTGCAAACACACAATAGTGCCTTTCATGAATCTTAATCTGTACCTACATTCTTGAAGATCCAATTTTTCAAGCAAGGTATTCCAGCAATAGTCAATTTTTTTTTAAACACAATGGCCATATTCCACTAAAGCAGAGTGACCCAAAGATGAAAACTCAATCATCATCTTTCTAGAAGTGTGCTAACATCACAGATTACCTTTCTGACTACAACATTCCCATCACCTTTCCTCCTCCAGAGTTAAGGCACTGCTAGTAACTTGTTTCTTGAATCCCTTCATAAAAGTTACCCTGCTCTCAATTCAACAGCACATCCATTAAAAAACCACTTATCTCCATTCATTCCTGACAAGCTCACAAAAGCCTGCTGGATGCTAAAGCCCCTAAAACTCAAGACTTCATCTACCCCCTTCCCCTTCCAACAACCATTCCCAGGATGACCCCTTCCCTTTTACCTTCCATCCCAGATTCATACACTCCTTTCATCAACCTATCAATGTCCATCCTCTCTACATGCCCAAACTACCTCAACAACCCCTCCTCAGCTATGAATAATACCCTTGGTCACCCTCAAATTCCCTTAAACAGGAAATCTTCACTGGCTCTAGCCTCCTTTTCACTGCTGCTTTCAAAACTCGCACCTCACATGTGGTACCACTATACTCTGATACATTCCCCTTTTTTTGTCTACATAGATAAACTTTTCTTTCCACATAATTTTTTTTCAACATGTCAGCCATCTCCCACTGAGGTAGGGTGATCCAAAAATTAAAGAAACTCTTGCACCATCATTTACACAATCACTGTCTTGCAGATATTTCAATAAATCATCTACCTTCTCAATCCCCCGTCGCCTATTCTATGGTTCACTATCTTTCACAGACCTATCTGCTGACATCTTCACTCCCAAATATCCAAATACATGCCCTTTTTCCATATCCCTCCCTCAAATCTACCATTCTATCTCTGTCTAGAGTTTGTTATCCCTCATCACCTTCCTCTTTTATATGTTCACTTTTAATTTCCTTCTTTTACTTAACTCAAATTTATCCACCAACTTTGGCAATCTGCCTTCAGAATTCCCTAAAAGAATTGTGTCAGATGCAAAGAGCTACCGTGACAACTCCCACTTTGCATCAGATCCAATCTCTCTCTCTCTCTCTCTCTATCCAGCACCCCTTCTATACAACCTAGCATTTATTTTTTAAAACCCCATCCATTATATTAAACAACCATGGTGACACCATGCATCCCTGTTAAACTCCTACTTTCAATGGGAAATAGTTCCCCTCTCTCCTACATACCCTAACCAGAGCCTTTCACTCTGCATGAAAACTCTTAACTGCTGTTATTAAATTAACTCCTACTCCATCCATCTGCCACACATGGCTCCCCCCTATCCATTTTATCATATGCCTTTTCTAAATCCATAAATAATACAAACAGCTCATTTAACCTTTAAGTACATCTCACTTATATACTTCAATGCAAAAACATGGTCTACACATCCCTTATCCTTCCCAAATTCCTTCTGCTTATCTGCAATCCTACTTGTCTACCATAAACTTTACCTGGTATACTCAGTAAGCTTATCCCCCTATAATTCTTACGTTCTCTCTTGTCCCATTTTACCTTACAATTAATTTATTTGCACTAAATTATTGTAATCAATTCCCTCCTGGTCATCCGAGATTAGGATGAGGCATAATAACAAGCCATTTCTCTCAGCTTTACAATTTTCCTTCAGTTTATATGCAAACCATTAACCCCCTTCACTGTTGTGACCAACGAATAGTGTAACAATTTAAAAAAATCAGGAATAGTAACGACACCAAAAATGCAAAATTTGACGGAAAACTTACGGAACTATGCAGGTGCAAAGCTGGTGGTCTGGGTGTAATTTAAGCATCAGCAATTCTGCTCACTATGAGTTATTTTAAGTAAATTCCGATGCTCAATTCAACTCAATTCCTATCTAAATCGCTAGTACGCCTTCTTTCTATTGACTGAGCGCAAGAAACTGCACCTTCAACTATTCTATAAGGATACACAATTATTAATTTGGCCAATTTTACATGGTATTCAACAAACGCTTCTTTTTGATTATAATAATAATCAACAAATTCCAATTTAAAAACAGTCCAAAATTATTATAGTCATTCCAGGCACGTAGATGAATGGCTCAGAGAACCGACACGTTGATAAATAAGACACGTGCTACTCTTGGGTATCTTTGTTTCCTCAATAAAGATACCCAAGAGTTGCACGTGTGTCTTATCATTCCAGGCACCAAATTAACCTTTCCTCTGTTCATTAATCATACCTCTAGGCCTCTCCTATATAACACTTGGTCAACATTTTCAATCCAAAAGTTTTACCTTATGTCTTGGATAATAAAACATAACCAAGAATAATTGGTCTTGATTTAGGCCATCCAAATACAGGCAGAACTAATAAAAAAAATCACAAAACAGATGGGGGGGGGGGAGCAGCCATATCTTTCCTTAAGAAAATTGCCTCTTTAAGGCCTATTTCAAGATATGTACTTCCTGTGCAATAAAGACCAAAATCATCTACAGTTTATTGAGTTTTCCTTGGAACCTCCTTGCATGGAGTCTACGCCCACTATGTTATTACTCAGCTTATTATACTCTATCAGTCTTACATTGAAGAAATACTCGTATCTCTCTAGCTTATTTGGGTGTTAAATTTCCCTTTGTTCATCCTGCATTCCTGAGATACTCAAGCAGAAGTTAATATAGGGAGGTCTAGAGTTATGTGGATTGTTGCCCTACATTCAGGAAGGTTATATTAAATAAGATGCTTCAGTAAAATTACAGCACACTAATATTCTTAATCATACACTTCTGGAACAAACCACATTCACCTTTCCTTCATCTGTGTCATTTGATCAACATGTTCCTCAAGAGTATGAAAGAAATAGGGCAATCTGTTTTATTTGCATTTTTTCATGCATCACTTTAATGTTACACAAATAACCCGCACACAGAAGAGGAGCTTACGACGGCGTTTCAGTCCGACTTGGACCATTTACAAAGTCGCACTGTGTATCGTTCCAGTCATGGTACTGTGCCTTTTTTTGTTATTTAGTCACTTTAATGTGTTTGGAAAACCAAAACATATGCTATATATTTCACTACTAGTATCACTTTCTCTGTTATGATATTTATGAGGAGCCTCTAAACCTATAAAGGTCATCATACTTGAGCAATGAGAAAATCAGATTAGAATCAAGAAAGTACAGTTAACTAATTCCTCTAATCCAAAGGCCTTCACTAGCATTATGGCGCCTCCCTTCAAGTGACTTTCATTATTTTATTTAGTACTGTAAAACAGTTTTCTACCAATATTACATCATAGTTCTAACAAGGCCAAAGATTATATATATAATAAATAGTTCCCCACAAAGCCACAGATCAAGGTGATAGTTTAAGAGTTACGTCTGTAATAAATTAGCCATTACAATATTTACACTATGTATTGAATTAAAGGCAATTTTTTATAGAATTAAGTGAATTCCTTCTATTGTACTTAAAAGAAAAAAATTTAAGTGAAAAATACTCGCACAAGAAAACAATAAGAAATATTATCAGTAGCACAGAAGGAAAAAAATAAGTACACAGTACAGTGGACCCCCGCATACCACACGCATTGCATACCGTACAATCCGCATACCGCTCGCTTTTTTCGCAAACATTTTGCCTCGCATACCGCCCAAAAACCCGCTCACCGCCCTTCGTCCGAGACGTGTCCAATGTGCGGCCTGAGCCACGCTCACATGTTCCGCCGGTGGCATTGTTTACCAGCCAGCCTCCGCGGTAACATCCAAGCATACAATCAGAACATTTCATATTATTACAGTGTTTTTGGTGATTTTTTCTGGAAAATAAGTGACCATGGACCCCAAGAAAGCTTCTAGTGCCAACCCTACAGCAATAAGGGTGAGAATTACTACAGAGATGAAGAAAAAGATCATTGATAAGTATGAAAGTGGAGTGCGTGTCTCCGAGCTGGCCAGGTTGTATAATAAACCCCAATCAACCATCGCTACTATTGGTGGTACAGCTGCTGCTGTACCACCGTCAGCTGCTGCTGCACTGTCAGCTGCTGCTGCACTGTCAGCTGCTGCTGCTGTTGTACCACCGTCAGCTGCTGCTGCTGCTGTAGCATCGTCTGCTGCTGCTGTAGCATCGTCTGCTGCTGCTGTAGCATCGTCTGCTGCTGCTGTAGCATCGTCTGTTGCTGCTGTAGCATCGTCTGTTGCTGCTGTACCACCGTCAGCTGCTGCTGCTGCTGTAGCACCGTTGTTGGTGTGGCTTATTGAGAATACCAAGAAACAATTAACCCCAGAGGATTTGCCACCCAGGATAACCCAAAAAAGTCAGTGTCATCGAAGACTGTCTAACTTATTTCCATTGGGGTCCTTAATCTCGTCTCCCAGGATGCAACCCACACCAGTCGACTAACACCCAGGTGAACAGGGAAAAATGCCTGGAACTAGTGCTCATATTGGTGAATTTAAAGCCAGCAAAGGTTGGTTTGAGAGATTTAAGAATCGTAGTGGCATACACAGTGTGATAAGGCCTGTTCTGGAAGAAAATGCCAAACAGGACCTACAGTACTCAGGAGGAAAAGGCACTCCCAGGACACAGTGTCTCATCAGTCATTGCTGCATCTTCAATAAAGGTAAGTGTCATTTATTCTTCATTTAGTAGAGTAGTACATGCACAATATATATTGTGCATGTCCTACTCTACTATTGTGCATGTATCCTTCTCTTTGTGTGTAGGAAAATGTATATTTCATGTGGTAAAATTTTTTTTTTCATACTTTTGGGTGTCTTGCACGGATTAATTTGATTTCCATTATTTCTTATGGGGAAAATTCATTCGCATACCGAACATTTCGCATAACAATCAGCCCTCTTGCACGGATTAAAGTCGCTATGCGGGGGTCCACTGTATATATGCAATGCATTTTCAGGAACAAAAATCAGGGAAATTTAAGCAACTACCTTCACAAGACTGTTTATACAAACTGTTATTCCTATGACTATGCCACATTTCTATTTTTTCCTAAATAAATTATGCCGAAATATGACTGCCATAAACATGAAGTACCGTACCTAGCACTACTTGAAGAGCACATCTGGCAAAGAACCAACAGAGCACTGAGTTACACAATATTATAAAATCCATATGCTGTTTAATTGACATGGAAAGTGTCTAATATACAATATATTCATTGCCATTAACTCACAAAGTACACCAAGGGTAAGACTTCTGAAAACTTATCTTAAGACATTTCTTTTCATTTCACACTAACTTGGAAGATAAAACAGGACACAGATACTCCTTGTTTAAGGTAAGACATTAAACCTTATAAAGAATAATTATGAAACCAAGGTGAAAATTAAGTACAATGAATAAACATATTAAAATACAGAAAGAGTTAGAGAATAGAGAGAACTAGCTAATGATTACAAAAATATATATAATCCACATTCTATAACAGTTCAAAATAATTAAATCAGCAGCATGCATTTCAAACAGTAGGCTTACTAATGCATACTGTAAAAGAAAAAAACTTCAGTAATGAAACAGTCATAAAACTGTGGCTTGAGCAATTCATAAATAAACCATATAATGAAAATAAAACTAGATGTTTCAGTCTGTTCTAGACCAATATTAATCCAAAAAAGAAAAGAGGAGGAAGTTATAAATTCAGTCAGAGAAGAGTGGTGAGTGTCAAGTTCAGGTCAGGGAAAGAGGGCAGGACACTACCAGTACAGGCAGGCCCCACCCTGCTTTACAGTGTTTCGTTAATACAACAATTTTCAATTACAGCTTCTCCTCACTTAATGACGGAGTTCAGTTCCTAAATGAATTCGTCGCTAAGCAAGGAGCATCCTATAATGGTAGTATTTATACCTAAATATACAGTGGACCCCCGACATTCGATGGCATCGACATTCGATGCATTTTAACGCAAAAATTTCGCCTCGACATTCGATGGAAAACCCGACATTTGATACGATTCATACGAGACGTGTCCACGTGTGGCCTGAACTGCCCTGTGTGTGCCAGTGTTTACAAGCCAGCCAGTGTGCGTGCATCTAAGGATACATTTGGTACATTCCATATTATCACTTTTTGGTGCTTGTTTCTGCAAAACAAGTAACCATGGGCCCCAAGAAAGCTTCCAGTGCCAACCCTTCGAGAAAAAAGGCGCTAATGACTATTGAAATGAAGAAAGAGATAATTGCAAAGTACGAAAGTGGAATGCGTGTGTTGGAGCTGGCCAGGTTGTATAGTAAACCCCAATCAACCATCTCTACTACAGTGAGCAGGAAAGCGGCAATCAAGGAAGCTGTTGTTGCAAAACGTGCAACTTTGTTTTCGAAACAGATTGCTAGTGTTAGAAGATGTTGAGAGGCTGTTATTGGTGTGGATAAATGAAAAACAGATAGCAGGAGACAGCATCTCTCAAGCAATCACTTGTGAAAAGGCTAGGCAGTTGCATGATGATTTGGTAAAGAAATTGCCTGCAACTAGTGGTGATGTGAGTGAATTTAAGGCCAGTAATGTGAGTGAATTTAAGACTCTCAAGCTGGTCCTAGTGGCATTAAAAGAAGAAGGGAAGTAACCCCGGAAAAAGACTTGATACCTCAAGTCCTAATGGAAGGGGATTTCCCTTCTGAACACTAACACCATCCACACACTCCCCTCCTCCCATCCCATCCATCATCACCAGATCTTCATTAAAGGTAAGTGTCAATTATTCTATTGTCATTAATCTATTGTTATTGTTGTTATTGTAATTATTCTATTGCATTAAACTTAATATTTCATGTGGTAAATTTTTTTTTTTTCATACTTTTGGGTGTCTTGCACGGATTAATTTGATTTCCATTATTTCTTACGGGGAAAATTAATTTGACTTTCGATATTCGACATTCGATGAGCTCTTAGGAACAGATTAATATCGAATGTCGAGGGTCCACTGTACATTATTTAGGTATAAATACTGGACAGAGAGGCCATTGTAAGTCCGAGGTGTTGGTAAACATGTACGTTGCTAAGTGAGGAGAGGCTGTATACCCATTCTTCATTTATTCAGACTTCCTACAATATACTCATCACTCACTATAAGCTAAGATCAAAAATATTTTAAGGTAAGTAATGAGTGTTCTCCATGGGGATGTGGAAAAGAATTCTTCCTCCATAAGCCATGCTTGTCATAAGAGGCAACCAAAATGTCAGGAGCAAGGGGCTAGTAACCCCTCTCCTGCATAAATTACTAAATTTAAAAATAAAAACTTTTTTCTTTTCAACCCTTTGACTGTCACAAGCCCCTTTCTGAAACTCATTCTGTCGCAAATTTTTTTGAAAAAAAAAAAAAAAAAAAATTCTTATGAAATAAGAGAATCTTTTCCCGATGGTAATGACACGTAATCACATGAGACCATGAAAACAAGAATACAACGATAAATACATGAAAATACACCTCAAAGTCGGCGTTTTAATAAAAAATTTTTTTTTTTTTCCCTCTTTATGCAGTGTGTGCTGCAGGATTTTTTTTATGTGGTGCACACTGACCACACAGACCCATTCTCTCACATATGGGCCTACCAGCTTTCTCCTGCTTGATTTGAAGCCACTAGAATTACTGAGTGTATATACATCCGAAACACTGGCTCGTAAGACCAAAACAGTCAAAGGATTAAATTTAGTAATTTATGCAAAAAAAATTTTTTTTTTTTCAGGTCTCCCTGCCTCCATGGGATATGGCTGGTTTGTTAAAAAAAAAAAATAGTAGTGTACTGTATATACTTTTTTAGGCCTAGCTATATTGCTCACTTAATACAGTGTCTCCTCACTTAGCAACATACTCGTTTACCAACGCCTCAGACTCACAACAGCTCTATGACCAGCATTTATACCTAAATAATGTATTAGAGCTAATTTCCTCAATTCTGTTTATTACAATATACAGTACACTGATGTATAAACATTTAAAAATATACCAGAAATGTTATAAATGGTGTAAAGGTGACATTAAAACAATGTCAAAGATGGTTGACAAAAATCCACAACCATTATAGTATGCTCCTCGTTTAGTGACGGGGTCTTAGGTCCCTATCTACGTCATTAAGTGAGGAGAGGCTGTATATGATAGTGTAAATATGTTAACAGGCTTTTATATGCATTTGAAAGTAATACTAATAATACTAATAATAATAATAATAATATAAAAAAAAAAGCTATGATTCACTTTACAGCAGTAGCCAGAATCTAACCTGCTGTATAAGCAGGGCCTACTTGTATTAGGTCAAATATCCTAATCATAAATATGTGACATGACCTGACCTTAAGCTGTCTCATAACCCCTCTACCCTGACCCAACCTTGATTCTTGTAACCTCTCTCCCCTTAACCTGACCTCAACTCACTCCTAGTCTCTATCCACCTGACCTGATTCCTGACATTCTTTCCTTTAATAAGTCTTGCAGCATGATAAATGGGTCTGGAAGGTCAAATCTCTAGTATCACCTCCATTCCAGCTATTGCTGGAAAACTATCTTTAAGAACTGGAAATCAAGATTTAGGGATAACAGTGTTTTAATTAAGGAAGAAATTAGTTTGATAAACAGTTCTAAAGCAAAATACTGACTGTTAAGAAGGCGTTAGTGTACTAAGTGCCTGGAAATCAAAAGTACTGTATAAGTACTTACTGGGATTGTTGTACAAGTGACAAAATGTGTGAGAAAAAGAGCATCAATATGACCAATAGTTATAAGCTAAGTGAATGTATAATTCAAGATAATCTGCACCCAACTACAGAACTGTCTCAATCCTGGGTACACTAGCAAATATGACACATAAATAAACACATCATAGTACAATGAGCCTTACAACTCAATATAATAACTGCATTTCTGGAAATGGTATAATAGGCACTACTACTATCTTACATTTACCCACACAGACATATGATCAGATAAGAATGCAGAACAAAGAACTGTCACCACAGAGATACCAGGAAAAGAAGTAATTTTTTGTGAAATAATCATTGTGTACACACAATGTACTTGGGATTTTCCTAAGTGAGTAGCAAATGCAGCAGGAACTTCAGCACTGCTTTATATTAAGTTGCAGCTTTAATATAACCTTGCTCTGATAAGTAGTGTACTGCCATTATTAAATGACAATTCTAAAGTGATGCTGAAGCTCTTACTACTAAAGATGAAAGAAAACCCAAAGAATACTGTATTTACAAAGTAACTTTCAAATTCCACAATGTACACTGGTCACTAGTACTGTAATTATTTTGTTATTCAGTAGGCATATTCATAGCCTATTTTAGGGCCAAAAGAAAAAACATGCCAATGTGAAGATATGGAGTACCTGGTCTTTATAGAAACATCACTTTGTCCTTACTCTTTGCATTTTCAAAGATAGTGTTAATAGTAGTGAAAACTTCAGCTGCAGGATGGGAGGCATCAATCCGTTGATGAATGCCTGCAAAGTAAAGTTTTTTTTTTTACTTATTTAATGTCTAATAAAATTTCAATAATATTTATCTAAGTTTTAAAGTAGAAAAAATTAAATTACAATAAAAGTTTAAATGAACAAGTAGAAATATTCCTTTTTACTTCTTTCAACAACATACCAGCCATATCCCACTGAGATAGGGTGGCCCAAAAGAAAAAACTAAAGTTTCTCCTTTTATATTTAGTAATATATACAGGAGAAGGGTTACTAGCCCTTGCTCCCGGCATTTTAGTCGCCTCTTTCGACACGCATGGCTTACAGAAAGGGAAGAATTCTGTTCCACTTCCCCATGGAGATCCTTTTACTATGCAATACAATTATAGATGAACTAATATCCCCTTGCAAAGTTCTGTTTTACAATAACTGATCTTGTTAACAATAGTTATACAGTAATTCAGTAACCTTAATAATCTTATAAAAATTTAAGAAGCACATAACATTGCTCAGAGTAGCATGCCTAACTAGCCCATTTTAGGCAGATTCTAACTATTTTACACTCAGGTATTTTCATCTCATACATTTTTATAACTCTACAAGCCAATTATTGAAATGTGAAGCAGACAAATTTGTTTCACTCTTGCACAGATGTAATGATTATACCAGTACACTTTCCTGTTACCTTTTTCAACTAAATTTTTTAAATTTATATAGAACAGAGTATTGCCTTGATCTGAAATTTTAATCATTTACACCTACCATCCGATTTACGACCTGCTCAACATACGACCATGTTTTTTATGGCAGATTTCTGGGAAATAAACACAGTGTTTATCCTAAACCTTATGGTATAAAACACAGTACTAACAGCATAAAAAGAAAAGTAAAAAATGAAATACCAAAATAAAACAAAATGAAATCACTACAAAAGTGTGATGTTGATATTCAGTAGTAAGGTTCGACTTACGTCCATTTTGACTTACGACCTGTTTGGTCGGAACCGAGCTTGGTCGTAAGTCGGATGGTACCTGTATTTACTTTTACTATTTATTTATTCATTTTATAAACAATCACTTTACTTATTCTATGCCTTTCAAACACAGTAAAAATTCAGGCACTTAATCTTCCATGGGGTATGTTGGTCCTAAACTTGAAAGGATGAAAAACATTACGGGAAATGATTAAATGATATTAAATGACACTTAACTTTTGGTAATACATTTCACTGAAATGTAAACATTGGTAATGGATTACCCACAGTTGGTTAGTGTAACGCAGTGCATTTTTACAGGATTAAGCAGGAGGAAAAGTGAAGTGAAACTACAGCATCAAGGAGCCGATGTTAAAAAGCCTCATCTTACTACGGAACTGAGCAAGAACGAAGGAAATCCTTCACAAGTGTGTGTTTATTCAGTACTGGATGATTTTACTTAATTTCAACACTTCAGTCGGCTAAATAGCAGTTTACTGGTGAAAGCTCCTCAGCTGATCAGTAATAGCAGGATATTTCCCTGCCAAGTTTGTGGAAATTATTTCCAAAAAGGGGCTACACTGCTGATCAGGAACTCACATTAGCAAATAAGAAAAATGTTCACCTGGATTCAAGCCAGCAAAGGACTGGTTCAGCATGCTTGTGTGTTAATATAACAAGCAATTTCAAGTGCAGACCTATGGTAATTTATTAAGTAAAGAATCCACCCATGTTTAAAAAGAACAAGACAAAAACCACTTTGTTATTTGGCAGTCTTAAAAAGAAAGCATGGATCACTTGGGCAATTTGCTAACCTAAGCAAATTTTTTTTTCTTGCAGTGAAATATCTCTATCTCACATACACACATCAGGAGGAGAGTGGTAGAGCACCTAGAAAGACACAAGCTTATAAACGACAAACAGCATGGTTTCAGGGAAGGAAAATCCTGTCATAAGCCTACTGGAGTTTTAGGACAAGGTAAAAGAAGTAAGACACGAGAGAGAGGGGTAGACAGACTGCATTTTCGTGGACTGCAAGAAGGCCTTTGACACAGTTCCTCACAAGAGGTTAATGCAAAAGCTAGAGGATCAGGCATACATAGCAGGAAAGGCTCTGCAATGGACCAGAGAATATCTGACAGGGAGGACAACGAGTCATGGTACATGACGAGGTGTCAGAGTGGGCGCCTGTGATGAGCGGGGTTCCACAGGGGTCAGTCCTAGGACCTGTGCTGTTTTTGGTATATATAAATTACATAACGGAAGGGATAGAGTCAGAAGTGTCCTTGTTTGCAGATGATGTGAAGATGAGAATTAAATTGGTTGAGGATCAGGCAGGACTACAGAGACACCTGGACAGGCTACAAGCCTGGTCTTGCTGCTGGCTCCTTCAATTCAACCCCGCCAAATACAAAGTCATGAAGATCGGGGAAGGGCAAAGAAGACCGCAGACAGAGTATAGTCTAGGTGGGCAAAGACTGCAAACCTCACTCAAGGAAAATGATCTTGGGGTGAGTATTAACTGAGCACATCTCCTGAGGCACACATAAATCAGCTAACTGCTGCAGTATATGGGAATCTGGCAAACCTAAGAATAGCGCTCCAATACCTCAGTAAGGAATCGTTCAAGACTATCTACACCACATATGTCAGGCCCATATTGGAGTATGCAGCACCAGTTTGGAATCCACACCTGGTCAAGCACATCAAGAAATTACAGAGTGCAAAGGCTTGCAACGAGATTGTCCTACGAAGAAAAGTTAAGGGAAATCGGCCTGACAACACTGAAGAACAGGAGGATCAGGGGAGACATGATAATGGCATATAAAATACTGCAGGGAATTGACAAGGTGGACAAGGAGAGGATGTTCCAGAGATGGGACACAGAAACAAGGGGTCACAATTGGAAGTTGAAGACTCCTATGAGTCAAAGGGATGTTAGGAAGTATTTCTTCAGAGTTGTCAGGAAGTGGAATAGTCTAGAAAGTGACGTAGTGGAGGCAGGAACCATACATAGTTTTAAGACGAGGTTTGATAAAGCTCATATAGCAGGGAGAGAGAGAACCCAGTAGCAATCAGTGAAGAGGCAGGGCCAGGAGCTATGAATAGACCCCTGCAACCACAAATAGGCGAGTAAAAATTAGTACACACATACACACACACACACACACACACACACACACACACACACACACACACACACACACACACACACACACACACACACCACACTCTCCACACACACACTCTCACACACACACACACACACTCTCACACACACACACACACACACTCTCTCACACACACACTCTCACACACACACACACACACACACTCTCACACACACACACACACACACCACACACACTCTCACACACACACACACTCACTCTCACACCACACACACTCACTCTCACACACACACACACTCACTCTCACACACACAAATCTCTCACACACACCACACACACTCACTCTCACACACACACCCCTCTCACACACACACACTCTCACACACACACACTCACACACACACACACCACACACACACACACACACACACACACACCACACACACACAGTCAGTTCCTGATCAGCCGGGCTGTGGCTCGTACGTTGGTTTGCGTGCAGCCAGCAGCAACAGCCTGGTTGATCAGGCGCTGATCCACCAGGAGGCCTGGTCACAGACCGGGCCGCGGGGGCGTTGACCCCCGAAACTCTCTCCAGGTAAACTCCAGGTAAACAGTCTCTCACACACACACACACACACACTGTCACGTCAGTGTGCGCGCCGGTCCCGCGCTCCGCGGATTTAAGTGTTTTCGAGGGCTACCCAAGTGATCTGAAGGGTAGCTAAGTGTGCAAGGATAGTGAACAATACCTTGAAGGATTTATAATCTGCCTGAGCCACATAAATGTAGGGAGAGCTGCATTTTCGTAAGTGATATAGAAAGTAAAACGTGGTGCGCAGTCAGGGCTGGCAGGCTAGTGTGCTCAGGCGACGTTGTCACGTGTCACCCAAGAAAGATAATAAAGTGAGAATCGTGTGACCAGTGAGATAAATACAGTGAATAGGGTACATTATTAATGAGAAGAAATTGAGGTGGATCTACGCCAGGACGTCACATCCAGCTGGACAATCTACAGGCTGCTACAGTGCATTGCAAGTACTGTAATCACCTATTGAGTGGTTGTATGGGTGTGGGGTTCCAGGTTCCAATTAACCGCCAAGCTGATTGCAAATGGTCTCTCATAGCACGATAAAGAATAGGCACTAAGGTATTCAATAAGGAATAGCATTTGGTAATCCATTGAACAAGGCGAGTAACTTACTATAACCTAGGTGGTAGGTCAGGCATAGGCAACATTGTAAGCAGGTGTGGGCAAGTCCCAGGAGGGTTGGGGTCAGGTCACAAGAGGTTGTGGTCACAAGCGACCACTGAGAATTCACATACCACTCCAAGCACAAGTCACCTACTTTTCAGACACATACTAAACCCACACATAATTACACACACACACACACACACACACATATCACATACACAACCACAATCACACCACATCACAACACAATACACAACACACAACACACAACACACAACACACACACACACACACACACACACACACACACACACATACATCCAGACTCACACATACACTCCCTCCCTCCCCGCTGACATCTCACTCCTTCCCCTGATCCCTCCCCTCCCTCTGTCACCCTACCCCTCCCCACCTCTCCCTCCTTCCCCCTCTCCCCCTCCCACTCACCCACTTGCTTCTCCCTCCTTCCCACTCCTCTCCCACATAGCCACAGTTCCTCCTCTACCTCTTCCTCCCCACACTCTGACATACACACTACTAACCTAACACACAGAATTACATAGGTTTCCCACTCTGAGGCAATCAGGATAAAACAAAAATGGGTTGCCAGAGAGCAACAAGAAAAACCAAGGGACAGGAGGAGGAAGCTGCAAAGGAAGATTGGGCAGCAGAGCTCATAAAAAGGGAACATGAATGGGAAAGGAAATAGAAGAACTTAGCATGAGAATGGAAGAGAGGATAGTAATGGAAAGCAGGAAGTGGGAGGTGCAAGTCAAAGCAGCAGAGGCCAGGATACAGAGTTTAGAAGAGGAACTGAAAAATCTGAAACAGCCTAAAGAACTAAAGAACATTTTGGGATTGACAACAGAGACTGCTACCTCAGTCACAAATAAGGGGACTGTAGGGAAAGAAGGAGCAAAACTGCATGTAGAAGCTCTATCAGTGAAGACTGTAGTAAATGAAAGAGCTAAGCTATATGTGGAGGCCCTAACAGACCACAGCAGAGCCCAGGGAAAGCCGAGAAGGGAAAATGACAGGCCACTGAGCCCCAGTACATTACCTAGTGAAACTGAAGAAAGGAAAGCTGCAATGGAGGAAATCAAATTGAATGAGGGGATACACAGGGATATGCAGTGGGAGAATGAAAGGGTGAGGTCAGTCTTTGTGTATGGGATACAGGAAGTTAAAGGGGAAACATATGAAGCAAGAAAACAAGGGGAAAAAAAGCAATTGAAAGCATCATGAAAGTAATAGGAGAAGACGACATGACCCAGCTGGAAAATTTTCGGAGAATAGGGGGGTTTGTAAAAAAAAAAAGAACCCGGCCAGTGAAAGTGACCTTCAAGGCAGAATCAACTCGGAACAGGATACTGCAGGAGAAAGCACGATTAAGGGACATGCCGGCATACAGGAAGGTGTATCTCGACCGTGACAGAACACAAGAAGAAAGGCAGAAACTGAGAGATGGTACAAAGGCGAAAGGAGGAAAGAGAGGGGATGGAGAAGACAGACAGGAGATCCCAGACACAGGAAGATCAAATACAACCTCCCTCACAGCTTCCTATAGAAGCCTCCCAACCAGGTCAACCCCAGTGCAGCCAAACACACTAAACCAAAACACCCATGCCACATCCAATGCCCCCACCCACTACATTATAAACTCCACCCCCACAGCAACCACCCATAGTTTCTTATCAGGTCTCCCACTTCCCCAACCCCAATACACCTCCCAGACCACAGTCTTAGAAAAGAAATTGAAGGTGTGGTATACAAATGCAGATGGAATAACAAATAAGTATGAGGAGTGGCATGAAAGAATCAATGAGACATCCCCAGACATAATAGCACTCACAGAAACAAAACTCACCAGAATAATAACAGATTCAATCTTTCCACCCGGATATCATCCTCAGGAAAGACAGAGGGAGGAGAGGGGGAGGAGGAGTTACACTGCTCATTAAAAACCAGTGGGGTTTTGAGAAAATGGAAGGAATGGATGGCATGGGCGAAAGTGACTACTTAGTAGGAACAATCCAGTATGAGGGACATAAGGTGATAATTGCAGTAATGTACAACCCACCACAGAACTGCAGGAGACCAAGAGAAGAATACGATGAGAGCAACAAAGCCATGGTCGACACACTAGCCGAGGTGGCCAGGAGAGCACACATGGGGGGAGCAAAGTTACTAGTTATGGGTAATTTCAATCACAAGGAGATTGACTGGGAAAACCTAGAGCCCCATGGGGGTCCCGAAACATGGAGAGCCAAGATGATGGATGTGGTACTGGAAAACCTCATGCATCAACATGCTAGAGACACTACCAGAGAGAGAGGAGAAGATGAACCAGCAAGACTGGACCTTGTATTCACCTTGAGTAGTTCAGACATCGAGGATATCTTGTATGAAAGGCCCCTGGGAGCTAGTGATCATGTGGTTCTGTGCTTCGACTACATAGTTGAGCTCCAAGTGGAGAGAGTAGCAGGAATAGGGTGGGAAAAAACAAACTACAAAAGGGGGAACTACTCAGGCATGAGGAACTTCCTTCAAAACATTCAGTGGGAGAGGGAACTGACAGGAAAACCAGTACAAGAAATGATGGACTATGTGGCAACAAAATGCAAGGAGGCAGAGGAGAGGTTTGTTCCCAAGGGAAACAGAAATAATGGGAAGAACAGAACGAGTCCTTGGTTCACCCAAAGGTGTAGGGAGGCAAAAACTAGGTGTACTAGAGAATGGAAAAGGTACAGAAGACAGAGAACTCAGGAAAATAAAGAGATTAGCCGAAGAGCCAGAAACAAATATGCACAGATAAGAAGGGAGGCTCAGCGACAATATGAAAATGACATAGCATCGAAAGTCAAGACTGACCCGAAGCTGTTGTACAGCCACATCAGAAGGAAAACAAGAGTCAAGGACCAGGTAATCAGACTGAGGAAGGGTGATGGGGAATTCACAAGAAACGACCGAGAGGTATGTCAGGAGCTCAACACGAGATTTAAAGAAGTATTTACAGTGGAAACCAGTAGGACTCCAGGAAATCAGAACAGAGGGGTACACCAGCAAGTGCTGGATGAGGTACATATAACCAAGGAGGAAGTGAAAAAGCTGCTATGCGAACTTGACACCTCAAAGGCGGTGGGACCAGACAACATCTCTCCGTGGGTCCTTAAAGAGGGAGCAGAGATATTGTGTGTGCCATTAACAAAGATCTTCAACACATCAATTGAAACTGGGCAACTCCCTGAGGTATGGAAGATGGCAAATGTAGTCCCAATTTTTAAAAAGGGAGACAGACATGAGGCACTAAACTACAGACCTGTATCACTAATGTGTATAGTATGCAAGGTCATGGAGAAGATCATCAGGAGGAGAGTGGTGGAGCACCTGGAAAGAAACAAGTGTATAATTGACAACCAGCATGGTTTTAGGGAAGGAAAATCCTGTGTCACAAACCTACTAGAGTTTTATGACAAGGTGACAGAAGTAAGACAAGAGAGAGAGGGGTGGATCGACTACATTTTTTTGGACTGCAAGAAGGCCTTCGACACAGTTCCTCACAAGAGGTTACTGCAAAAGCTAGAGGATCAGGCACACATAACAGGAAAGGCACTGCAATGGATCAGAGAATACCTGACAGGGAGGCAATAACGAGTCATGGTACGTGACGAGGTGTCAGAGTGGGCGCTTGTGACAAGCGGGGTTCCACAGGGGTCAGTCCTAAGACCTGTGCTGTTCTTGGTATATGTGAACGACATAACGGAAGGGATAGACTCAGAAGTGTCCTTGTTTGCAGATGATGTGAAGTTAATGAGAAGAAATCAAATCGAATGAGGATCAGGCAGGACTACAAAGAGACCTGGACAGGCTACAAGCCTGGTCCAGCAACTGGCTCCTTGAGTTTAATCCTGCCAAATGCAAAGTCATGAAGATTGGGGAAGGGCAAAGAAGACCGCAAACACAATATAGTTTAGATGGCCAAAGACTGCAAACCTCACTCAAGAAAAAAGATCTGGGGGTGAGTATAACACCGAGCATATCTCCTGAGGCGCACATCAATCAGATAACTGCTGCACCATACGGGCGCCTGGCAAACCTACGGATAGCGTTCCGATACCTCAGTAAGGATTCGTTCAAGACTCTGTATACCATTTACGTCAGGCCCATACTGGAGTATGCAGCACCAGTTTGGAATCCACACCTAGTCAAGCACGTCAAGAAATTAGAGAAAGTGCAAAGGTTTGCAACAAGGCTAGTCCCAGAGCTACGGGGATTGTCCTACGAAGAAAGGTTGAGAAAAATCGGCCTGACGACACTGAAGGACAGGAGGGTCAGGGGAGACATGATAATGACATATAAAATACTGCGTGAAATAGACAAGGTTGGACAAAGACGGGATGTTCCAGAGAAGGGACACAGACACAAGAGGTCACAATTGGGAAGTTGAAGACCAGATGAATCAAAGGATGTTAGGAAGTATTTCTTCAATCATAGAGTAGTCAGACTGTGAATAGCCTAGAAAGTGACGTAGTGGAGGCGGGAACCATACATAGTTTTAAGCGAGGTATGATCAAGCTCATGGGGCAGGGAGAGAGAGGACCTAGTAGCAATCAGCGAAGAGGCGGGGCCAGGAGCTATGACTCGACCCCTGCAACCACAAATAGGTGAGTACACACACACACACACACACACACACACACACACACACACACACACAACACACACACACACACACACACACACACACACACTCACACACACACACACACACACACTCACACACTCACACACTCACACACTCACACACTCACACACTCACTCACTCACTCACTCACTCACTCACTCACTCACTCTTGCAAATTTCAGGGAACTAAGAACTGGTATCCAACCTTTCTTGCTGTAGTAGGCGACTAGAGGAGATGTTTGCTCATGATACGCTCCCAATCTTCGCATTAATGTCTCAGGATTGTCATCTGACCGCCTGATTAGAGGCTCTCCAGTAATCTATGGGATAATTGATTGATTAATAAACCAACTACTACACCCTTGTAGACCCAATTATCAACACATTATTATACATTATTGAATACCACCCACACAAAAACTGATTCTTCTAATGGCTCAAATGCTTCCCAAGAGGCAAGCTACCACATCTCTGGTTGGCTGAGGCCCACCCAGGCAAGTCAAGAATAACAACAATAAAATAATAATAAAATGTGTTGCCAGAGCTTAAACATCCAGCAAGAATGTCCACAATTTAATTTATAAAAATGAATGTCCATGAAGAAAGCTTGAGGTGTAAGAAATCCAATGATCACTTTTAAACTGAAATCTTACACATAGCTTTAAATTCAGAATTCATATCTTAAAACAAAATGGACAAAACAAATAATCAAAGCTATTTGATGGAGGCCTTTTGGTAACACTGAAGGGTAACTAAAGTACATGAATTTGAAAATTCAACTGTACAATTGCAGTCCCAAATTTATGAGCTCTGTAATTCATGTGCTTTGCTTATCCAGTATTTTTATTGAAAAATCATCTTTCTAAGGGTTTTGTTTATTCACAATTTTTTTGCATTTTTTTTTTAAGTGGGCTTGACATTGCTTCTAAAATGAAAACTTAGTCAAGTATGTGTTCAATTGGCTTTCCAAGCCAAAATCTCTTTAATGACATTCTTACTTACAAACACCAATATTAACCTAATCAGAGCAATATACTATGTACATAAAAAGACGGTATCTAAAGTGCAAAAGGAGTCCTAATCCGGAATAAAGTTAGGCAAATATGTACAATTTTGTCTCAAATTCAATTTTTTTTTTAACAAGTCGGCCATCTCCCACCGAGGCAGGGTGACCCAAAAAGAAAGAAAATCTTCAAAAAGAAAATACTTTCATCATCATTCAACACTTTCACCTCACTCATACATAATCAGTTTTTGCAAATGCACCCAGATACAACAGTTTAGAAGCATATATAAAGATATATAACATATCCCTCCAAACTGCCAATATCCCAAACCCTCCTTTAAAGTGCAGGCATTGTACTTCCCATTTCCAGGACTCAAGTCCAGCTATATAAAAATAACCAGTTTCCCTGAATCCCTTCACTAAATATTACCTTGCTCACACTCCAACAGCTCGCCAGGTCCCAAAAACCATTTATCTCCATTCACTCCTATCTAACATGCTCACACATACTTGCTGGAAGTCCAACCCCTCACCCACAAAACCTCCTTTACCCCCTCCCTCCAACCTTTTCGATTACGACCCTTACCCAGTTTTCCTTCCCCTACAAATTTATATGTTCTCCATGTCATTCTACTTTGATCCATTCTCTCTAAATGACCAAACCACCTCAACAACCCCTCTTCAGCCTTCTGACTAATACTTACATTAACTCCACACCTTCTCCTAATTTCCACACTATGAATTTTCTGCATAATATTTACACCACACATTGCCCTTAGACAGGACATCTCCACTGCCTCCAACCGCCGCCTCGCTGCAGCATTTACACCCTAAGCTTCACACCCATATAAGAGAATTGGTACCACTATACTTTTATACATTCCCTTCTTTGCCTCCATAGATAACGTTTTTTGTTTTCACATATACCTCAATGCACCACTCACCTTTTTTCCTTCATCAATTCTATGGTTAACCTCATCCTTCATAAACCCATCCACTGACATGTCAACTTCCAAATATTTGAAAACATTCACTCGTCCATACTCCCTCTCCCCCAATGTGATATCCAATTTTTCTTCATCTAAATCATTTGATACCCTCATCACCTTGCTCTTATCTATGTTCACTTTCAGCTTTCTACCTTTATGCACCCTCCTAAACTTGACCACTTAACTTTGCAACTTTTCTTTAGAATCTCCCATAAGCACAGTATCATCAGCAAAATATAACTGTCAACTCCCATTTTGTATTTGATTCCCCATAATTTAATCCCACCCCCTCCCGAACACCCTAGCATTTACTTCTTTTACAACCCCATCTATAAATATATTAAACAACCATGGTGACATTACACATCCCTGTCTAAGACCTACTTTTACCAGGAAATAATCTCCCTCTCTTCTACACACCCTGAGCCTTACTATCCTCATAAAAATTCTTAACAGCATTTAGTAACTTACTACCTGTTCCATATACTTGCAACATCTGCCACATTGCTCCCCTAGCCACTATCACATGCCTTTTCTAAATCCATAAATGCAATGAAAACTTCCCTACCTTTATCTAAACACTGTTCACATATATGCTTCAATGTAAACACTTGATCTACACATCCCCTACCCACTCTAAAGCTTAGTTGCTCATCCAAAATCCCACTCTCTGTCTTACCTACATTTCTTTCAATAATAACCCTACTGTACACTTTCCCTGGTATACTCAGTAAACTTATTTCCCTAAAATTTTTACAATCACTTTTGTCCCCCTTCTCTTTATATACAGGAACTATACAAGCTCTCTGCCAATCCCTAGGTACATTCACCTCTTTCATACATTTATTAAACAAAAATACCAACCACTCCAACATTATATCCCCCCCTGTTTCTAACATTTCTGTCATGATCCCATCAGTTCCAGCTACTTTACCCTCTTTCATTCTACGTAATGCCTCATGCACCTCCCCCACACTCACATCCTGCTCTTCACTCCTAAAAGATGTTATACCTCCCTGACCACACATGAAATTACCGCCTCCCTTTTTTTGTTGACATTTAAGTTCCTCAAAATATTCCTGACACCTACCCAATACCTCCAGCTCCCCATCTACTACCTCCAATACTCTGTTTTTAACTGACAAACCCATTCTTTCCCCGGGGCTTTCTTAACTTGTTTATCTCACTCCAAATTTTTTTCTTATTTTCAGCAAAATTTCTTGACAGTGCCTCTCCCACTTAATCTGCTCTCCTTTTGCACTCTCTCACCACTCTCTTCACCTTTTTTTTACTCTCCATATACTCTGCTCTCTTATAGCATTTCTGCTTTATAAAAACCTCTCATAAGCTGCCTTTTTCTCTTATCACACTCTTTACTTCATCATTCCACAAAACACTCCTCTTTTCCTCCTGCACCCACCCTCCTATAGCCACAAACTTCTGCCCCACATTCTAAATACTGCATTTTTAAAACTATTCCAACCCTTTTCAACCCCCCCCCCTACTACTCATACTTGCACTAGCCCACCTTCCTGTCAATAGTTGCTTATATCTCACCTTTGCCAATAGTTGCTTATATCTCCTCCCTTAGTTTATACACTTTCGCCTCTCTCTGACTTCTTCTTGCCATTTTCCTTTTGTCCCATCTACCCATCTACTCTAACTGTAGCTACAACTAAATAATGATCCGATATATCAGTTGCCCCTCTATAAACATGTACATCCTGAAGCCTACCCATCAACCTTTTATCCACTAATACATAATCTAACAAACTTCTTTCATTGCATACTATATTACACCTTGTATACTTATTTATCCTTTTTCATAAAATATGCATTACTTATTACCAAACCTCTTTGTACACACAGCTCAATTAAAGGCTCCCCATTTTCATTTACCCCTGGCACCCTAAATTTACCTACTACTCCCTCCACAACATTTTTACCCACTTTAGCATGGTAATCCCCAACCACAAGTACTCTCACACTTCATTCTAAACTCCCCACACACTCACTCAACATTACCCAAAATCTCTCTCTACACTTCCCTTCTCCAGGTGCATAAACACTTACTATAACCCACTTTTCACATCCAACCCTTATTATACTCCACATAATCCTTGAATGTATACATTTATAGTTCCTCTTTTCCTGCCATAACTTATCCTTCAACATATTGCTACTCCTTTAGCTCTCTATTTGAACCCCCTGACTTAACTCTCCCCACCCCATTCAGCTGTTTCACTTAAAGGCAGGACATCCAGCTTCTTCTCATTCATAACATCCACAATCATTCAAATTCAATATTTATAAATAATGAGAACAACCTACAACATATTATCATTAATTTCACATGCTGGTTTAATACCTGATAGCATTTGAAATGTCTGATTAAAGTTCTATCTACCACCAAGAATGGGAGAATACAAGGAGAAATTAAACATCCAATATTGTACAGTACCTGCATACTATATAGAGTAAATAGAGTCTTACGTCATCTGTCATCGGAGTTTTGGGAGGATAAAATTCTTCATGATATGAACGGCCAGATGAGGGATGGAATAGTCTGCCAGTGATGCGACGCACTAGAAGGCTATCTTCAATAGAAAATTCTACAACAGAGTCCAGCTTCTGTTTCCGCACTTCTAGCATATCATCGAGCTGGTGTTCAAAGACAATCAAACCATTTGTAATATAATCTCTCTCACCTTCTTTGTTCACAATTAATAATTGAACAGTAGGAAACAGTACAGATGTAGCAAAAAATACAGTACAGTATTTCCAATTGTATTCCTGTATTATTGTTGTGTTAGTAAAAGTTAAATATATACATACAAGGAATAATTGCTTTATCTTAATATTTAGCATGCTAACACATACAAATGATTTACCATTTAAATTAGTTTTTGCTTCCTAAAGCATAACTAATTAATAACAGCTGCAGTGCTATATTTTGTGTAAATGAATGCTTCAAAGAAGTGTAATGGCACAAACTCACATGGAGACAAAAAAGAAATTGTAAAATCTGGACAATTTGACCACACATTAAGCCCCAAGCACCCCATCCTGTGTAGTTACAGCACTGAGGTCATTCACTTCCCAACCACCCTGAGACTGAAGAAATACTTCCTGATATTCCTGTGACTTATCTTCATCTAACTTCCAGCTGTGCCCCCCAAATGCCTGCTTTCTGCACCTCAAACAGCCTGTCCCTGTCTGCCCTATCAATTCCTCTCAGTATTTTGCATATTACCAAGTTACCCTAGGGCCTTCTGTCCTCCAGGGTAGTTAGATTTAATTCCTTTAGCCTTTCCTCATAGCTCTTACCCTTTAGCTCTGCAATTTGTCTTGCTGTATACTTCTGCACTTTCTCCAGGTTCTTAACATGCTTTCCCAGGTAGGACGAGTTCCATACTGGTGCTGTGTACTTTAAGATGGGCCCAACATGTATAAAGCACCTGGAATGGCTCTGCTGAGATTCATGCAGGCCGCTCTCAGCTCTGTCAATCCAGAATTGGCTGCAGAGGTTATTCAGCTGATGTAAGCCTCTGGCAATATGCTATGCACTATGCCTACTCTCAGGTCCTTCTCTTTGAGGTCTGCAGCATCTATTCCCAAATTCTCTACTGTCTCCAAGTGTCTTCATTTGTGCCATATGGATGCTTGTTAAACAAAACTCATTACCTGCATATTACTTCAAAATTTACATATATGCGAACAGCCCACAAGTTCAGTATGCAATATTACGTAGAGTAAATTTTATGGTTAGTAACCTACATTATAACTAACATTAAATATACACAGTGACCGGTCACTGAACTGACAAATTATCAGAAATGTGAAACTTTTACAAATTTCTCAACTGATACTATCTTCAAAGGTTGCCCTCAAGTCTTTCTCAAACTATATCAACTGTGCACATTAGTAAAAGCATACCTTCTCAGCCTGGGTGACGGTGCGTGGAAAGCCATCAAGAATAAAGCCATTCTTGCATTCAGGCTTGTCAAGGTTTTGCTCAATCATATTTACCACTAAATCATCACTCACCAGTTTCCCTGCAGAGAGGAGGATACTACAAGTTTTACACAAATCATTACTTCTCTCTGGATAACAGCATATTTATCTCCCTCTCTAAATATGTATCTAACAAACAAAATTCCCCTCCAATTATAAGTACTATACATATAGACAGGCAACTTAACTTTTAGAATTTTTCCCTTAATTTAAATTGAATGCTAAGTCTCTTTACATATACTAAAAATGTCTGTTTAGACACATGTACATTCTATTCTTTGTGCTTTTGCACTTGAAAATACAAGCTAAAAGCTGTTACCATATCACAGCTAGTTTCAGAGCCAAGTCCTATCTCAGGCACATTACTACCACATTCTGTTACCAAAAATTTGGAAATGTGTACCCTGGTACCTATTTACTAGTAAAATAAGGCCAACTGGTCTAAGGAGGGTTACCTATACATCTCCACTTGCCCAGAATTGAGCCCTAGGCCCTAAAAGATGAGAGCAGAAAATGCTATCATAGAAATAAGTCATCTTTTTATATGTACTGTATAACTCTTGTCCTATGGATGCAGTGGTACCTCAATTTTCGTATGCCCCAGTTTTCGTAGGATTCGGTTCTCGACGACTTTTTTCGTGAAAATTTTGTCCCAGTTTTCTTACATCTGCTAAGTTTTCATAGAGTTGAAAATGGTCCGTACCAAACATGTCCGCGTGACTCAGCCACTCAAGCACCCACGCAAAGCATCCCATGCATTCGTGACTCAGTCTGCCTTTGTTTCTCGTTGAGTGAGCATCACCCCTCACGTTCATCCGAAAGTCCATGGGGTTGAATGTGAGTGGCCAGGATGTGGAGGAGTTGGTGGATGACCACAGGGAAGAGCTAACCAATAAAGAGCTGCAAGACCTTCAACTGGAACAGCAACAGACTGCAGCTGAGAAAATTGCTTCAGAGGAGGAGGAAAAGAGAGGGGAGAATGTGCCTTCTTCAGTGATTAAGGACATGTGCAAAGTGGAGCGAGTTGCAAAGTTTTGCGGAGAAATATCACCCTAACAAAGCTGTTGCAAGCAGTGTCTGCATCATGTTCAGTGACAATGCCTTGTCCCATTTTTAGACAAATCTTAAAGAGATGCCAGAAACAGACCTCTCTGGCCAGATGTTTTGTGCGACAGGGTTGCAGTGACTCTCAAGCTGGTCCTAGTGCCAGTAAAAGAGAAAGAAGGGAAGTAACCCCGGATAGGGCCTTGATACCTGAAGCCGTTATGGAAGGGGATTCCCCTTCCAAACAATAACCTCTCCTCCTCCCTCTCTCCTCCTCACTGTCTTCCATACGCCAACGAGTCTTCAATAAAGGTAAAAGTGATGTTAAATGTTCATTTATCCATTTCATTTGTCATTTATATTTCTTCTCATTTTTTTGTATGTAAAACTACAGTTATTCTCGATTTAAAAAATTTTTTTTGTAAATTTTTTGGGGGCTGGAAAGGTTAATTAGATTTACTTATTTCTTTTGGGGAAAAATTGCTTCGTTTTTGCATTTGGTTTTTTTTCCTTTTTGAACGGATTTAATATGAAAACCCAGGTTCCCTTGTATTTACGTACACTTTCTCCCAAAATACATTTTTTATATAGCCTCTCTTTTGATATTTAAAATGGGCAAGCCAATTTTCAAACCCAAAAAATTTCCAAAAAGTTTTCACATATCTCAGAACTGATAAAAATGCATATTTTGATCATTCAAAAATTTTTGTAGGATTTTTTTTGGGTCTTTACGTAAATTTCATTATGTAAGTGAACTGAAAATTAAACACCTCACTCTCCAATAAATTAAAACCCAACATACCCGAATCCATGATTCCCTTTTAAACCCTTTGCCAAAACTTGATCCCGATGCCACCTGGGTCTCAAAAGATTCCCGTTGCCAGTGCACACCAGTACGCTGATTTAATTTTGGAGCCTGGGGAAATATATATTAACTTTTATACGTACAGTCTAAAAAAATAGAGTGGGAAAAAAAAAAAAAAAAAAAAAAAAAAAAAAAAAGCAAAAAAATGGCAAAAGGGTCTAAAGGTATCATGAAAGTATGGTCAGTGTGATTACGAGTGAGAAAGGGATTATAGTATTATGAAAAAAATATTATGAGTGAGAAGGGATTATGAGTGCTGGGAAGGGAGGAGGGGTTGTGTAGAGAGGGGGTGTGTGTGGTGTGGTGTGTGTGTGTGTGTGTGTGGGTGTGGTTGTGTGTGTGGTGTGTGTGTGTGTGTGTGTGTGGTGTGTGTGTGTGTGTTGTGGTGTGTTGTGTGAGTGTGGTGTATCCCTATTTTACTCACCTATTTGTGGTTGCAGGGGGCGAGTCCAGCTCCGGCCCCGCCTCTTCACTGGTTGCTACTAGGGGCCCCTTCTCCCCGCTCCATGGCTTTATTTAAAAACCCCGTCTTAAAAATGTGTTGGTTCCTGCCTCCCTACGTCATTTTCTAGGCTATTCACGCCTTACAACTCTATGACTGAAAAAATCTTCCTACTATCTCTTGATCATTTGTGTCTTCAAATTCAATTGTGGCCTCTTGTTTCGTGCCCCTCCCTGGAACATCCGTCCTTTTCCACCTTGTCTATTCCGCGTTTTTATATGTCTTATCTGTCTCCCCCGACCCTCCTTCCCCTCTCTCTCTCTGTGTGTGTGTGTGTGTGTGTGTGTGTGTGTGTGTGTGTTGTGTGTGTGTGTGTGTGTGTGTGTGTGTGTGTAGGAGGGGTGTTAATGTTGCAGTTTAAAAACTGTAGTGTAAAGCACCCTTCCGGCAAGACAGTGATGGAGTGAATGATGGTGAAAGTTTTCTTTTTCGGGCCACCCTGCCTTGGTGGGAATCGGCCAGTGTGATAATAAAATAATAATATATATATATAATATATATATATATAATATATATATATATATATATATATATATATATATATATATATATATATATATATATATATATATATTTTTCAACAAGTCGGCCGTCTCCCACCGAGGCAGGGTGACCCAAAAAAAGAAAGAAAATCCCCAAAAAGAAAATACTTTCATCATCATTCAACACTTTCACCACACTCACACATTATCACTGCTTTTGCAGAGGTGCTCAGAATACAACAGTTTAAAAGCATATACGTATAAAGATACACAACATATCCCTCCAAACTGCCAATATCCCAAACCCCTCCTTTAACCCTTTGAGGGTTTTCGTCGTACTAGTACGTCTTACCGTAGGGGTTTTCGACGTACTAGTACTCATAAATTCTAGCGGCCTCAAATCTAGTGGGAGAAAGCTGGTAGGCCTTCATATGAAAGAATGGGTCTATGTGGTCAGTGTGCACAGTCTAAAAAAAATCCTGCAGCACACAGTGCATAATGAGAAAAAAAAAACTTTGACCATTTTTTTAATAAATCAGCGACTTTGCAGTGTATTTTCGTATGGTATTTATTGTTGCATTCTAGTTTTTCTTGGTATCATTTTATAGAATGGAAGACATAATTACTGAAATTGAGATGATTTTGACTGGTTTTACAATGAAAGGTGCCTTGAAATTGAGCTCAAAGTAGCAGAAATGTTCGATTTTTACCAAACTTCAAAAGTAAACAAATCGTGCCAAGCGTGCAATACACGTCAACTGGTGAGTCTAATATTCTTTCACAAGCGCACCAATAATATTTATACCATTTTTTACACTAATGCAGTAGTCTGCATAACAGTAAATCTTATATTTTTTGTGAGAATAAAAATTCAAAGTGGAAAGCAAAAGAATATAAGAGGGGACTTGAGACGTGACTAATGACTAGAGGAAATGTCATTTTAGTGCCAGGAATGTCTATCTTGTTTATTCTGGACCCTATTCGGAAATTGGCATCTTTTGAAATTTGTGTGAAATTGGCAAAATTGCGACTTTGCAGTGTATTTTCGTATGGTATTTATTGTTGCATTCTAGTTTTCTTGGTATCATTTTATAGAATGGAAGACATATTACTGAAATTGAGATGATTTTGACTGGTTTTACAATGAAAGGTGCCTTGAAATTGAGCTCAAAGTAGCAGAAATGTTCGATTTTTACCAAACTTCAAAAGTAAACAAATCGTGCCAAGCGTGCAATACACGTCAACTGGTGAGTCTAATATTCTTTCACAAGCGCACCAATAATATTTATACCATTTTTTACACTAATGCAGTAGTCTGCATAACAGTAAATCTTATATTTTTGTGAGAATAAAATTCAAAGTGGAAAGCAAAAGAATATAAGAGGGGACTTGAGACGTGACTAATGACTAGAGGAAATGTCATTTTAGTGCCAGGAATGTCTATCTTGTTATTCTGGACCCTATTCGGAAATTGGCATCTTTTGAAATTTGTGTGAAATTGGCAAAATTGCGACTTTGCAGTGTATTTTCGTATGGTATTTATTGTTGCATTCTAGTTTTCTTGGTATCATTTTATAGAATGGAAGACATATTACTGAAATTGAGATGATTTTGACTGGTTTTACAATGAAAGGTGCCTTGAAATTGAGCTCAAAGTAGCAGAAATGTTCGATTTTTACCAAACTTCAAAAGTAAACAAATCGTGCCAAGCGTGCAATACACGTCAACTGGTGAGTCTAATATTCTTTCACAAGCGCACCAATAATATTTATACCATTTTTTACACTAATGCAGTAGTCTGCATAACAGTAAATCTTATATTTTTTGTGAGAATAAAAATTCAAAGTGGAAAGCAAAAGAATATAAGAGGGGACTTGAGACGTGACTAATGACTAGAGGAAATGTCATTTTAGTGCCAGGAATGTCTATCTTGTTTATTCTGGACCCTATTCGGAAATTGGCATCTTTTGAAATTTGTGTGAAATTGGCAAAATTGCTAAATTCTGACCACTGTACTGGATAGTTGAATTTATAAATGGGTGGTTTCTTGCACCCATTCGATAGAAAAAATGGAGTTCTAGCGAAATATTCATGTTTTTTGTCGACTAGTACAGTGAAATTGGCTGAAAATGGGGCTCAAAGTGGGCAAAATCGCCGATGCGTAAACATCGCTGAGACCGCTAACTTTGCGAGAGCATAATTCCGTAAGTTTTCTATCAAATTTCAAACTTTTGGTGTCGTTATGATCGGAAAAAGATTCTCTATCTTTTCATAAGAGAAAATAATTTTTTTTTTTTAAATTTGGCCGACCCTGAGAACGAGTTTCGGAGAGGGCCTGTCGACCCTCAAAGGGTTAAAGTGCAGGCATTGTACTTCCCATTTCCAGGACACAAGTCCGACTATATGAAAATAACCGGTTTCCCTGAATCCCTTCACTAAATATTACCCTGCTCACACTCCAAAAGATCTCAGGTCCCAAGTATCATTCATCTCCATTCACTCCTATCTAACACGCTCATGCACGCTTGCCTGAAAGTCCAAGCCCCTCACCCACAAAACCCTCCTTTACCCCCTCTTTTCCAACCCTTTCGAGACGACCCCTACCCCTCCTTCCTTCCCCTATAGATTTATATGCTTTCCATGTCATTCTACTTTGATCCATTCTCTCTAAATGACCAAACCACCTCAACAACCCCTCTTCTGCCCTCTGACTAATACTTTTAATTAACTCCACACCTCTCCTAATTTCCACACTCCGAATTTCTGCATAATATTTACACCACACATTGCCCTTAGACAGGACATCTCCACTGCCTCCAACCGTCTCCTCGCTGCTGCATTTACCACCCAAGCTTCACATCCATATAAGAGTGTTGGTACTACTATACTTTCATACATTCCCTTCTTTGCCTCCATAGATAACATTTTTGACTCCACATATACCTCAACGCACCACTCACCTTTTTTCCCTCATCAATTCTATGATTAACCTCATCCTTCATAAATCCATCCGCTGACACGTCAATCCCAAGTATCTGAAAACATTCACTACTTCCATACTTCCTTCCTCCCGCAATTTGATATCAATTTTTATTTTATATATATATATATATATATATTATATATTTATATATTATAGTAATTTATATATTTATATTATATATATAATGATCATTTATATTTATATATATTATATATTTTAAATTATATCTATATATATAATAAATATATTTATATTGTGAGTTTATATAATATAAATAAATATACTAATTAAATAATATAAATAAATATAAATAAATATAAATTAATATAAATTTATATATATAATAATAATATTTTTTATAAAATTTTAATTAAATTACTAGTGGACCCCCGTTTTCGATCGCAGCTACCAAGGCGACATTATGTAAGTGTATTTATGTAAGTGCGTTTGTTTGTGTATGTTTGGGAGTCTGAAATGGTAATTTTCATTGTAAATTACAAAATTCCTTATGGGAACAAAATTCTCGGTCCAGTACTTGCACTGAACTTACTTCTGGAATGAAAATAATCTCGTAAAACCGGGGGGGGGGTCCACTGTATATATATAGTATTTTATATATATATATATAATATTACATATATATTTCTTTTTTTATATTTTTTTATCTCTACCTCGTGCGAATTCCCCACCAAGGCAGGGTGGCCGAAAAAGAAAAAAACTTTCACCATCATCCCCCCCCCCCCCACTCATCACTGTCTTGGCCCAGAAGGGTGCTTTTACACTTTCAGTTTTTCTAAACTGCAACAGTTAACACCCTCCTTCAGAGTGCATGGCACTGTACCTTCCCACTGCCAGGGGACATCATGTCAAGGCCTGCTCGGTTTACATGATCCTTCATAAAAATCGTTACTTCTGCTCACCTCCAACAGCAACGTCAAGTATGTAAAGAAAACCCATTTGTCTCCATGCACTCCTATCAA